GAAGGGTCTAATTGTTTTAGTATCACCAAACTAGTCGGACAGAAAAGGCAATAATAAAGTTAGCAAATGCAAGTTGAAGAAATATCTATTTGGGAATAACACGAAAGAAAGCATCACGCTCGATTGAGCCAATTTCGCTACTCGAGGACTATTACTAACAGTCTTCTAGTAGCGTAGCCAATTAAAATGCAGGATTCGCATTAGTCCACTAGTTGGGTGATACTAATTGGGGTTATCCAATTAGAGCGGTTCTCAATTGAGTGTCGTAAAACCAGAACCAAAGTAATCTCTCAAGCCAATCACAAAGAACACACAATACAGTGAGCCAATCAAAACTCGAAGTACTCACATGTAGCTGACGCAAAGCGCGGGAAAACGCGTGCGAACGAGTCACGATTGGTTTTGGTTTTACTCCTGATTGGAAGAAAAATTGGCGCGAGTTCTTTTTAAACCAATCGCATAGCGTGGTAAGTGGAAAACCAATTACTTTTCAACACTCAAATGAAAACCGCTCTATATGGCTGGGCGAACTGGAAGAGAGGCACTGTGAGCGCAAAGCTAAGTTTGCCAAAAACAAACACAGTGACTCCGGCTGGGCCCGAACTCAGATCTGTCAAACCGGAATACAAAGCACTAACCATTAGGTTGTAGGTCAAACTATCATAGTTTCATTATTTTTTTTAAAAAAGACACTTACTGTCCACAGGAGACAAGGGTTTTGTCGGTGACCTGTCTCCGGCGCTTTCCTCGCCCGAGCTCCTCTCTCTGTATCCAGCCGTGAAAGACGCGGACTTTCGGGGCTTGGGCGGCACTTTAGGGGGCGGGCCCTTCTTAAAGCTTTTAGGCTTGACCGGTGGTGGTGGGGCAGGTTTCTTGGGTCTCTGAAAGGTAGAGTCCGGCGAGGAGGTACGTATTCTATCGTTCTCCTCTGAAACCATGTCCTTCACGGCCATTCCGGGGCCATTGAAATCGATTTTAGTTTGATTAGAGTTGGCCACATGACGTGGCAGCTCAATATCCTCCAATGGAGGGGGAGGGCGGGGAGGAGGTTCGTCGTCTTCATTAGCTGAAGTTAAAACAGAATTATCTCCATGTAATCCTAACGAAGGGTCCAATTCATTTTCATGGTTGCCTTTTTCCTCCGGAGGGTCTAGCCGATTGGCAGAGGGATCAACCCCATCACCATCCGTCTGCGGCGCCTCAGGGCACAGATCATGTGGACCAGCATTCTTCTGTTGATCTTGATCTCCGTTTTCATATGGTAATTCTTCTTTATGAACAAGCTGCGTTGTTGTCTCGGGAATTTCGGATTCCGCCGACGAAGAATCCTCGACAAAAAGCTCTTCATTAGCTTTTCCACTCGGGGAAAGAGCATTGCGAGAAAACTCCTTTTGGTTTTCTTGTGTTCGAGCGCTTTCCGAGATCAATTCAGATGGTTCAACTTCATCGGTTGATACTCCGGAATCTTCTCCATCTAAACATGTCTCTAAATAACCCTTCCTCTCCTGAAGCGGAAATTTCTCTTCTACACTTTCCAGCACGTTCTCATTTTCGTCTGCCTCTTTCAGAGCTTGCACGGCCATCCATATCTTTCTTTGATGGCCTGGTTTTTTGACTCCAATCGCTACTAGGTCTTCTAACGTCATGTCCTGGAGGAAATCCATGTCATCGAATCCGCCGTCCAAGAACTCGGGTATGTATTGCTCTAGACCAATCAGACGCAGCCACGTCATAATATCTCTCTGCAAGAGAAGCACCAGGTTTACCGTGAATTGGGATTGCGTGAACATGCACCAGTCGGACGTGACAACTGAACGTAACGCTTCCGTTCTTTCTTATGCCGTGGGTAAATAAGCCAAGCTTGCAAGATTTTTCAGCTAGTATAAATTGCATTTGCTCTGAAAATCTGTGACAGCTGGCCAGTGCGTACCCGAGGCAAAGCTGAGTGAAATACTTTATGACATTTTTTCGAAATAAAAACAAAATTCAAATTTAGGACTGCATGGAAAGACCTCATACTTCCAACACATCACATAAGGGAATTTGAAACGTCTGTAAGTTTTGTGATAGTGCTTTACATTCCTGACAATATCCAGCTATTCATGTACAAACTGCTATTACAGCTCACCGGTTTTTCTCTCGGAAATACCACTCTACTTTCCAGTTTGGCTGATTCTGATAGAATCTTTTTCCTATGACCTGTTTTCGTCACGTTTATGGCCGTCAAATCCTGACAAAATGCAAAGAAAACAAACAAACAAAAATTACAGCAACAACCAGGCAAGTAAGCAAGCAAGTTTAAGAGTTGGTTTCCCAAAATATACGTTATTCTCTGTATTCGTATAACCTGCCATTCAACGTGAATAACTATCAATACGTTGAGCCCAAATTTTCCTTCACCGTCCATGTTAAGCCGCTCACAACATAAAATATTCAGTACGCCGAATTTATAGTTCTCCTACATTTTTTATGAAGACCTAAACAAAAACGCCCATGGCACACTAAAACAGGAATCTCTCACGTAATTTTGATTTCATCACTTTGTACCGAACAGTTAAGACCACATGGTTAAAAAAACAGTAAATACTACGTTTAAATACACATGACTTCCGGTTCGTGAGGCCTGTAGCTTTAAGTCTCCCATTCCAAAAATATGACGGACTCGTTGTCAGATATAACCCCTTCTATTGTAGCTCGAGTCCTAAAAGTCCTTTCGCAATCACACACCTCCTAACTTACGTAGTTAGAGACGAAAAGGCAAAATGACAGTATCACCCTATTTTAAACAGATCTTGCTCTACAACAAGCGCAACAGTACGCCGTAAAGTTCGGAAAATGACGATCCTTTTGGATTCATACTAGTAGCCTGTCGCTATCGCTACTTTCCGATGATCGAAACTTTCGGAGGATCGCTACTCAGGCTTACAGGAGTCGTTACTTTCGGAACTTTACGGTAAATTAGCACGTGTTTCGTGTCATGTTTGGAGGAGCTCCGTGACAAAATTCAATATCGGAGGTATAAACTTGATCAGAGTAAGTAGTGTCGATTACTAATCCCTCAAGTGCTGACACTTTACCACGCAATAACTCAATAATTTGTCTTGCTTGATAACAAAAACTGATTTTTATGACATTAATACGAATGAAATCAAGTCAGACGGTTTACGTTCTTTTTCTCTTTCCCTTTTCTCAACTGAGCTACCTTAGCATTACCTAGGTAATGGAAAAGCACAAAGCCCTAAAAGTCAAAAAAAAAAACTTCCACACTCGCGTTCGTTGTTCCCAAACAGTTGAAAGACGAAACAAACCAGTCGAACATTGGGTAAAACAACGTATAAACTACGCAAAATAAAACTTGAATTTTCACTTCAAACTTAGAATTAAGCCTTTCTCTTACTGCTAAGAATTCAAGTTTTCCTTAGCCAGTTGTCAACTCTTTTGACTCTTAAAACATATATAGTTTCAATAAATGAGTTTCGTAAACATGTTTTTTTGATTATCACACACGAAACCACACATCGTAAAGTTGTTAAGATGACTTGTTGAAACTCGAAATTAAAGCTACAAAAGCTTGCTGTTTTCTTTACCTCTGCAGTTATTCCAAGTATACTGGTCATGTCGAAACCTCCTTTCACAAAATTATCGATGTAGATAGTCAGTCTGAATTTCTGCAGCCAGTCGAACAACTCGTTATACTCTCGCATCTAGAAAAAAAGAAGAAAGACAATAAGAACAAAGAGACATGGATATTAACAAAATGAATCAAATTGGCGCTTTTCAAGGCATCAAATATTGCAAGAAAACAACATAACACAACATAAGTAAATAAAAGGTGATGTCAAGGCAACGGAGCTAAGTATCTGCCTTTATCTAAGCAACTAGTAAGAATCTACAGGCTACATGTAGGCAGAGGTCAACTCTAGTAGCCGTTTCGAACGTGTTACCTGAAGCTTCAACGCCGAGCAACTCACCTAACAGTCTGCCCAAGGCCTTAAAAAAAGTACCGAGAAAATGATCGTGTCTTATCCAAACAGAGCTCAATGATAAGTTGCTTGAAAAATTAACTGTGGCATTTCTACTCAACCACAAACTGCAGGTGCTCTGGGAAAAATTCCACTGTTTCCGCGCTGACGAATAGTGACTGAATGCCTGACGTGACTAAATAAGGTTAAATCGCGAATCTAACATCCTGAAACAAGTTCAGTCAATGATATTCTTCTTCCCACGTTTCCTGTTGATAGTATATTCGAAATATCCTGCGGGGCTCAGCTAATTAGGGAACATCATGACAGAAGAAAATCACTGAAAGAGCGGATCGGCGTGCTCGATAGGCAGGCAATGTTCCTTTTACAAAATAAACTTCACTTCTTTATAATTTTAATATCCTCGACTTGATGGTAATAGGGCTCTTATATGCAGAGTCTGTAAATGGGCGTAACGAGCCACTCAAATGCTATACACTTTCACTGACGCAAAAAAGCACTTGAAACTTGACCTCTCAACATCCGCCACAGAGTGCATCTTTCCGCACACTATCGTTTTCGTTTACTCCTTTTAACACAACAGCAACAGAGACGCACTCGTCATTTCTCGTTGATTTAGAGAAAAGAGACCTAACCCTGAAGTCAGGCTCTCTTTCAGCAAACCTGTTTAACACACAAGTCAATAAAATGCCATATATTGGTGTTCTCAGACAAGGATATCTCCACTCACCTTAAGCGGGATGTGGCCCGTAGCTTCCGAGGGATCACCCGCGTCTCCTGCTGGAACAAAATAGATACGCCACGCACGTTGAGTACAACGGAAAGACCACCACGACGTATAGAGACGAATGAAGTCAAATACGGTAACAAAATGTTAGGTTGTGGCGCCGGCAACAACCGCCCTTTCCCCAAGTCTCTCCCGATTTTTCTTAAAGGAAAATAGAGCAAAGCAAAACCTGAACTTTCTAGACTGACGGCAATAAATCCCTTTGATTGCTATAATAAATGTAATTACTACGAAAATCAGGTGAAGGGTATTTAACGTATCTACATGGTACATAAAACTTGTCTCGCAAAAAAGGCTCGTAGGTGAACTTGCAAGAAAGTCAGCTTACTGAGTACAATAGGTTACTACTAGCCTGCAGAACTGGCAGATTTGCGGTGTCCGCGTTCGTGTACCACGTCTCCCGCTGAGCCCCGCAAATCCGCCTGTTCTATGGGCTGGGTTACTAATGACCAGGAGCCCATGAAATCCTGTAATCCCTGACTTTTAGTTCGTATTGAGCCTATCCCAAGATGTAGTCTCATGACTAACGTTTCGTGCAAACCTGAAAACCAAACCTACAGGATATGATAAAATACCCCACAAACGTGTATTTATGAACAAATGACGTCCTATTTTCCAGAAGAAAGTTTTTTCTTTTTTCATCGAAAGTACATGTTTAAGTGTTTTCCAGATTCCCTTCATTCGTTCTGTATTTCACCATTGTTGGGGAAGACTGTAGGCTCGAATTGCTGATCAAATGAAGTAATGGCCAATTCCCGTTATGAGATGCCCCTGCCGGGGAATCCTGGTAGTTGTCTTCAAGAATGCCAGGGGGTTGTTGTGAGGTTTGGGGGATTGTTGACAGTGCTTACCGCGTCGGTCGATATTGACATACTGATGGTTAACTGGCACGGCACCGTTTGTCATCATCTCGTAATCCATTCCATCTTTGTTTTCCCCTACAGAGTGATGCCAAAAACATATTCTCAAAATATCACTTACAAAATCTTCATTAAAAAAAATGTCTTTTTCGTCGAGGAATGATTATACAGAAGGATCGGATTCAGCAAGTGAAAAATGTGGTCGCATACCATCGGTTCTATAAATTAAAAAATTCCTTCAAACAAGTTTAGACTTCGGGAAACAACAACCGTAACAAAACTTAATTTGAGATGAAAAGGTGATCAGTCGTTCAATCAAGATTCCATTAAACCCCGAGTTCCCGAGTTGAAATTGAAAAAAAAGAAACAATATAACCTCAAATTTCAGTTGATATTATTGTTACAAACAAGCGCACTCTGGGAGTGTTAGGGTTAATGGCTGTAATTTTACCTTCTCGACGTCGAAAGGAAAACAAGTTATTTTCAAAGAGGTAGCAGAACATAATACAGTTGTGCAATTAGGGCTTAAAACTAGTAAACCAAAGACGTTGACTTTCCGTCAATGAGAATAGAAGTTTGACAACTGAATCTAAACTTGCACTGCAACGGGTTTAAAGACATCTACCCGTTTCCTCTAAACGTAGGTAATATATTCAAGTCTACAATCCTGGCCAAAAGTCCTTGGGACACTTAGCTTATACCGTGGGCTGAAACATTAATGTCTTTCTGCTCTTGCTAGGAAGTGATTTTACGAGTTTTACCACCTCCCCCCTCCCTCACCCAAGACAATGTTGACTTGGGGACAGAATTCTAGCTACATGGACAACATTATAAGGGGGAGGGGAGGGGGTATATGCATTAACTGTATGACCACTAGAAAAGTAAGTAGTGTCCCAAAACTTTTGACCAGGATTGTACGTTCCTATATTTGATTTAAAGGAATTTAGTTTGGTACATTAAAGTAGCTTTACCTGCATCATCTGATAAACTGGTCTCATTGTCTTGCTTAACAGCTTGATTACTAGTCTTGTCATTTTGTGCTGTGTCAGCAGGAACAGCTCCCGTCATTGGCACATAATTGACATCATTCGAGACGTTGTCCCATTTCACCGGCGTGCTAGCGCCTGGCGTGACATTTTCGTAGCCCCTGGCGTGAGTTTTTTTCGAGGTTGGTGTGTTAACAATAACGTAACCGTCCTCTCCTTCTCCCTGTTGGTCGACATGTGAGATGATCATACTCTGCGTATCGTTACCAGGCTTTCCTCTGTTCGGCAGCTGCACATTCTCGTAAGCTAGTTGCTGTTTTGGTTTCGGATATTCTTTCACCTTCAATGGTTGCGGTTTCCATAAAACGTCAGGGGAAGGAGGCGTTGCTTTACTTAGACTCATGTCTTCGTATCCTTTCCTTGACAATTCGGGACTTGCGACCCGTCGCGAGGGTTCCTCAGTAACGCTGAGACCCGTTTGACTCGTAAGACCGATCTGACCCTCGGGACTTGAATGTCCCGCGGGATGTTTGTCTGGTGGAAGAGCCGCAGGTAGTCTTCCAGATTTGAAAGTTGATTGGCTAGATTCGGGAACAGCAGCGGGTGCGACGTCCTTAACAGGCGCCCGTATTTTAGGCGGTAGCGAAGGCGGTGGATTCGATGTATTTCGTACCCAAATATCGTCCATCTCGACGTTTGAAGCACAAGGCTTCTTATTCTCTTTTTCAGGCAGCTGTGGAAGTTCTTCGCATTTATCAACCTCCTCAACGGATTCATTTGACGGCGGTAAACGAACTTCAGCGTACTGCGTTTTGCTGTTTGTTTGAACTCCTGGATTAGGGGCCTGGGGAGGAGACAAGGGCGCTTTGTCAACCTCAACCTCCACATACTGCAGGCCCGTACCGGAAGCGAGTTTGACTGAGCCTTTTTTGGCTTTGAGTCCCTTTGCAGGTAAAACTGGCTCAAACAAGGCCTTTTTCGTGGCAGGATTGGGGCTCTCTTCCCCATCTTCATCACCGCGATGGCGAGGTCCCTTTTTACCGAAACTACTTAATCGAGGAGAGTTTCTCTGAAAACCTGGAGAAGGCGGCACTATGATGGAAAAACAACAGCAAAAGAGAATTTTACAACACATAAGAATCCTTCACAGTCGTTGAATTGAACGTAAAGGTTAGGGAACGCATGCATGCCGAGCCGAACAGAAGCCGTTTTCGAAATAGTTTTATATCTCCTATGTGGCTGGGATCAAATAAAATCAACTCTTTCATCAACTCTTTCTGGAGGAAACCAGTTTTCGTTTGATGTCAGAAATTCAACATGAATTCTGATCAATTACAGTTAAATCATAATTATCACGAGTTTACTTTTTTACGAGTTATTTTTTCCCTGGTTTGATGTCACTGTTGTTTAATATACCTGGAGGTACTGTAACCATCTGGTAAGATCCCACCGGAAGTACGCCAGCTTCCTTAAGCTTTGGTGACTTCTTGGCTAAAAAACATAACGTTAAAACAGCACAACACCGGCAGTTTGGAAACATTGCTGTCAAAATTCTTCGAGTATTTTTCCAGTAAAAATATGTACGTTTGCTTTGTTCAGAGTTTGCTAAGCGCTCAAGTGATTACAGCGTGAGTAGTGATTGATTAATGAAATTCATGCAGCAAGCTCTAACCAATAAGGATTTTTTTAAGGTAATCATCCCCCCCGGGGGGGAGGGCGGGGGGAAGGGTACTCCCGTATATGCCGTTAAGCCGTTTTGGTCAGAAATAGAGTATTGACTTTGGCCATTTTGGTCTCAAATACGGTACAGTTTTTGCACTCTAGGCTTGAATTGGGTATGAATTTTTAGGAGAAGCTACTTTTTAATTATAAGGCAGGTTTGAAACAGGGTATTGCTTGCCACTGGGTACTATTTCAATTTCAGTTCTGATTAGTTGATGATACTACGTGTATTTGCGGTGGATCTTAGATTGCTTTCCTTTTAAACGGACCTTTGTTTGTCAGTAAAGTAATGTATGTTTTCTTTTAAGGTTTTCGACATGTTGAGTGAAAATGACGATTCACTAATACTAACCAGAAGAGGCTTTTCTTGGTGTGGTTAACCTGACGAAGTTTCCTGGGAAGTATCCAACTTTCTCTTTCTGGAAATCAACATTACAAACAGATTTAAGAGGTTAACAATGGCATGACCACATAACTGTAAATTACAGTTGGAACACTCATGAAGAAGCTGCGAACAACTCGTCTTTGGAAACAATTTTTTGGAAAATAAGACTGACAGAGAATTCCACCCAGACATTAAATAAATCGAACAACCAGAAACAAACAAACTTACGTCTCCATTTTTAACTTTTCCTTTCCACCTTTCATTTTGATTTTGTTCCAGCACCTAAAATAACATATAAAAGATCCTCACCATTCTATAAACAATCCACAAGAAAGCATTTACAAACGGTAAACTTTAATAGATTCATCATCTCAAAGGTTTTTCAGAAACTATTTACAATAATAATGATACACCCTCGTAAAATTAAATTTTGTAGTACAAGCAAGTACCAAACTTGTGTCCACTTGCGACTTAGTTCGACCGGTCATTTGACTTGTTGCTTGCACTTACTCTGATCCAGATCAAACTGGTTCATAGATGGACGGAAGTTTCTCAACGTTTGGCTACCCAACCGGTAAGCTGCCGCACGTTGATCGCAAACAATAGCCAGTGTTACGAAGTTTGTTCAGTTCAGCATAACTTTCTTGTTTTGGCAACTTGCGTGGCAACTTCTTAGTTTCTTTGGACAGCTCACCCCGCCAATCCGTTAGGCCACGATTTCAGGATGACGGATTTACAGGTCATTATACGCTGGTCTTCAGCGATAGATGTAGCCTTCTACGCACACGCTCTTTGGGCTCATCACGAAGGGGATTGCGTGACATCCAAAGAGCGTCTGCGAGGAGGCTATCTTTGATGCGGCTCTTGCTAAATTCGGCGCGCCAGAGACCTCGCATCCTGCCGCGCGTTTCGTGACTTGTTTACTATACATGTACTGTGAGTTGCAATCAGACACGACCATTTCAGATTTAACAAATTGTGTGATACAAGAATGACTTGGAGGATAAGCGACAAGGCAACAAAAAGCCACGAACAAGAAACAACTGATTGTGTCTCTTACAATGATTGTTTCTCCAGTCTTGAAGGAAAGGGCTGTTGAATCCATCATATTGAAGTGATCCCTCACAGCTTTTGCGTATACAGTGGTATCTGCATCGGCCGCATCTGAAACAAGGACTCAAAATATTCAAATTATGCTACAGAAGTGTTATTCATTCTAGACAGATAAGCATATTAAAGGAGACG